ATATTTATCTAACCTCAGTGAAGAAGGGAAGATAAAGTGGTTCTCTGGTGTGCTGGTGGCTTATCCTTCTACATGTTGAGCTAAATGCATGCATCTTCACGGCTGATTCAGCCCCGAAGTCAATCTAATTTTGGGCAATATAGGTTGACTTTAATTTGGAAAGGGTAAGCAGCAAGTACCTTACCCCCCCAAATCCTATTCCTATCCTACTGGTCATTGCTTTTTATTTAGCCAGCGTTCCTTCTTTGTCTACGTGGGACTTTTTATTCTAAAAATCCGGCATCATCTGTTCTTCTTGCAGCTAGGAGCTGCCCAGTGAGATGTCTTCCTCCAAATGTAAGCTGATTGATACAAGTGTTCTTATTGTTAAAAATTGTTTATTGGAGAAGAACACTAGGAAAGGATGATTTTGGCAGACACACCGCCTGTGCTCCCTATGTGTGTGTGGGGTTCTTCTGCAGCTCCCATGTCCACTGGCAGCTCTGCACATTGGAATTGCTGACAGTTGGCACCCCACTGACTCCCCCAGCGGCTTGAAATCCGATTAGTCCACCAGGCAGAGGATTTTCCTCTCTTGCCTGTTCTGTAGATTTGCAGAAGGCATTAACATCAGAGGGTTAGGGACCTGGGAGCACTGCAAAAGGATTACTGAAAGCAGTCATTTACATCCAATGAATCCTCAACAGAGAGAATCTGTTCCTTTTTTTTTGCAGCTTTGCTCTTAAAGGCCAACTCCACCCAAAGCTCAGATTCCAGTTTCAACCAATAGCCGCCAAGCTGAATTACACCTGTGAAGCAGAATTAACAATTACTCGTGTTACGTTCGCAGGTGTATGACTGACATTATTATTTATGTGGTAGGTCCCCATATTACGGTTTTGATCTAAAGTAGATTGGGCAGAGATTGTAACCTGCATGGTGAGCTGTACAAGGAGTCAAGTTCACCTTTCTTTCTGTACCTCAGAACATTGGCATAAGTGACAGTAACCTCTTAACAAGCTACCCTCTTTATATTGGCAACATATGAAGTGGATCTAATAACCAGAGAAATGGAGCTTGGTTTTATTAGTATGTGAGGCAGGGCTTAAAGTACACATGTACTTAGAATATGATCAGTATGGGCAGTATTTTAATTTTTATAAGCAGTGAAATGGCTTTACAACAAGTCCTCACTGACCTCTGTAGCTACAGACACTGTGGATCACCTAATCTTCAAAGTTCATAAGAAAAGCACTAGAAATCTTAGCCCCTTATTTTCTATGGCAGAAGAATCATTGCAGTCTGTCTGCCCTCTAATATAAACAAACACCAAGTACTGTTTGAAGTCGGGTTTCATTGTGTTTCTAACAGATTCTGAGTCTTTCTTTGAGGATGAATTACCCCACAGTGCCTCTTCTGGTGACATCCCCAAATTTGGGATTTTCTTTAACTTCACCAGGACAAAATGTGTAGGTGAATCTCCCCAACAGGTACACAGACGGCGATTAAAACCCCAAAAGGGGTTCTTATCCCACTCCACTCTATCCAAAACCGAAAAAAAAAAAAGTACTGAAGGAGGAACTTTTACCCTCATCTTTAACATAACCAAGACGCCTTAAAGGAGAACTATGGGGTTAAGGCTTTTCCCCATAGTTCTCCTTAGGGTAACAGGAGGACACAAACTAGCGTCCTCCCATCACCCTAGGCTCAGTATACCGCGAGCTGTAGCTCGCGGTATACTGAGACGCCGCAGTATACCGCAAGCTGCTGCTTGAGGTATACTGAGACGCTGAAGCGGATCCTGACAATTGTGCCGGGATCCGCCCAGCTGCGTGACTGACAGCTGGCTCTGCCTATCTAGTCAGCGCTGGCGGATCGGAGCGAGGAGGGGGGGAATCCAGCCCCTCCCCTGTCACGGCAGAGAGCCGTGACAGGATCGAAAGGTGAGCGAACGCCGGTATGTGTTCGCTCACCTCCCGATCTACTGAGCCGACCTGTGACAGTCTCATTGTCACAGGTCGGCTAGAACTATGAGGTGAGTGAAAAGCACTCACCTCATAGTTCTCCTTTAAGTCTGCATTAGGCATGCACAGATACCAAGTACCATACTCGGGACAACTACAGGTACAGGTACTTTTCCAGCTCCAAGACTAGACTAGAGAAAAATTCAAAAGTTAGGAGGCAGCTGTCATGTGTAAGGAGCACACGGAGTTCTCCTTTTAAAAATGTTTAGTGATGACCATCTACAATCAGATACGGCTAGATAATTGCTGGCTTTGTATTCTTTGCATACCTTATTTCTCTTTTCCTCACCATTCTTCTCACAGCAGCCATTTTTACCAAGGGCAGGTTACTAGATCTCCCTTTAATTCCTGGAACTCTGGCACATGTGACTAGGACATGTGACTCTATACATCCTCTCGGGAGGAAAATGCCATTCCCTGAGATGACAGATGAGATTTCCCAGCAATGCTCTGCTGATGTAACCTTCCCAGGATGCAACGCTCGGGCACAGATTACATCACTAATGCCCAAGAGGACCAGGAAGTAGAAAACGAGAGTTGGAAGTAAAAAAATAACTCGACGAATGAAAGATTTCATATCGGCACGCAGAGCTGTATGCTGATATGATTTTTATTGAAAGGGGGTAAAATTCCCCTTTTTAAAGGCCTCATGTTGTGTTTTACATTGATGGTGTCCTCATTGGATGGGGCAGCTCGGTCCTGAGGTCCCCGCAGTCCTGCCCACAGTAACAAAATGCACACAGAGAATTTTTGGGATAATTTTTTTTTTCTTGGTAGCTCTCTTTTGGTGCTTTGCTTTTAGGCGGGACTTGTAAAAGATTAAAACTTGCTGACAAGTTCACTTCAGTCCTGGAAACCTGAAAAGCGTAATCCGCGAGTAAATGGAGCCTCGTGCTTTGTGGGATCATACTGCAGATTGCCATTGACTATAGTAAGCCGGTGTTACCTGTATCGCCTCTGTGTGGACATGACAGGTGCTCTTTTTTTTTTTTTTTGGTGAGCAGTCTGTTCACCTGTAATGTTTCTAGGCTCCCCCTTCCCCTGGCCGGATCACCATAGCAATATTCACGTGTTGTAGCAATGACCTTGGCAGAGCTTTCAAAGCTTCAAAAACTGCTAACTAATGTGACTTGTATGTGCTCCGGATTATTCCTCCCTGTGGGGCCGGCGCCGGGCTTTATTCTTCACCTAATATAAAGCAAAGCTTACACGGGCACAATGCTTTCTACAGATTCATCGTTTAGTGCATGTTGTCATTTGGCTGTGTGACCTCTGTGAAAGCAGGAAGCGTCCTGTATTAAAGGGCAGCTGTACTTTGACTTTGATTTGTCAGGATTTGTGCTGAATAGTTCTATATTGCTTAAAGTGACACTGAACTCTGGAGATGAATCCTAAAAATACATTCAAGTCCCTTAACTATGAACAACAATGTCTCTTATTTGTGTATCACTCGGCTGTAGATCCTCCAATCATCTGAATTGGTGCCGACACTGTCCTTCCTTCTGGAGGGTGGCTACTTTTGTTCCCCATGGTCCACGTGTGTGTGTGTGTGTGTGTGTTGTAAAGTAGTCACTGCTCCAAGCTCACTACAATCTCATCTCATGTTCAGTTTACTAATTTGTATTGAGATGGATAACAGCAGATCGTTAATGGGAGCAGTCATGTCACCCAGGGGTACCTGCTGCCACCTCAAACTATAATCGTGGGTGCCTATGCATGCCTTGCTAGCATGTCTCTCCTTTTGCACGGCGGGACGCACTAGAGCACAGCCTCCTCCCACTCCTGTGGGGCATGCGCACTTGGGTTGATGTGCGTCTAATGCTGGGTCCTGTAGTCTTATTGTCACATGATAATGAGTAGCGATGCACCCACGTCTGGTGCACATGGGCTTATACCAGTTGTGATTTTTACACTTGAAAAAGCTGTGTCGGCTCACAACAGGAAATTAGCATTGAGGGCTTTCCTGTCAGATAAACGGGTATTTTACTCCCAGGGATATAAAACATTGAAATGTGCATGTGTTGCTGAGGTGTTACTACATACTAGAGGAGTCCTCCCGCACCTCCCCGCTCAGCCTCCTGTGACATCTCTGGATGGAGAGTGGTGTGTAGGCGGAGACCGGCGGTGTGGGGGCTTGCTAGCCGGCCCCGCTGGCTCTCAAAAAACCTGAACAATGCCTGCATCCAATCAGATTGTTCAGATATTTTGTGAGCCAGCGCGGCCGACTGGCAAGATACTGAAGCTTGGCCCAGCGGGAGATTCCTCCATACACACAGTTTAGCGTAGATGGAGGGATCTGTCTACTCTCCGACCATAGAAAGTCTGCAGATAATCTATAGGTGTGTGGCCAGCTTTAGACTGGTTGCAATGCACAGCTGCTCCAGATTTTGTCTGTTCCAATCAGCTTCTAGCTTTCATTTTCGGAACTTAACAAGTTGAAGAGTGAAGCTGATTGGTTACGGTACCACACCAAACTCCTCACACTGTTTTTATGGAGCTGACCTTGTGCACAGGGGGACAGTCATAAAGCAACAAAAAGTGCCTTCCCCCCAAACTGCTTCCACCAGCTTGGAAGGGTGCAGTGGCCTAAAATGTCTTTTTTAATTTGTTTTATTTTTATGCTGTAGCCTTAACAGAACCCTTCACTGGAGATGCCCAGTTTCAATATTTTACATGGGTGTTACCGCTCCAAGCTTGCTCCCGTGATTGACTACAATCTCAATACAAACTAGTAGTCCATCACTGGAGACTTTTTTTTTTTTTTTTAAATCCGATTAATCGATTAATAGAACTTAATAATCGGCTAACTAATCGATTATGAAAATAATCGTTAGCTGCAGCTCTAGTCCACATACTTCTAGCCTTATAGTGGGTGAGGTGTCCACAGAAATGTATTAATATGCAATTGAGGCAGAATTGGGAATCGGGGATCTGTAGCCATGTCTGTGAACAGCCTATTTATGATTTGTTTTTTTTTTTTCCTTCCATTTTTTTCAGGCCGCGGATTTAAGCAAACCGATCGACAAACGGATCTACAAGGGGACGCAGCCCACGTGTCATGACTTTAATCATCTCACAGCAACGGCAGAGAGCGTCTCACTGCTGGTCGGGTTCTCCGCCGGCCAGGTTCAGCTCATAGACCCCATTAAGAAGGAAACCAGTAAGCTCTTTAATGAGGAGGTGAGTGTGTTGGTTTAATAAGCAGCCGTGCCCATTTTGGGGTAAAGTGAAAGAGATTGTTGGGCATTTCTTTGAGATTGGAATCCCATCCCTGTTAAGGAAGCTACAGGCTTTTAGCCTAGCCAGTGTTGTCACCTGCCTGACTTTCCTTATGGAGCATTTCCACTGAAGACCACCGCATCGTGCACATACACTTCCCCCACCTTCCCCATTCTGCCACAATTCCAAATGAGTGTAATGTATTGTACAGTCGTTTCACTTATTAGTGACTCCAAGTCATTTTGTGTGAAAGTAGATGTGTGCAATATTTGCATTTGGTCACATGTGCCAACCTATCAGAATCTAGCTCTGTGACGGATGAACTGTCCAACCCTATTGGTTGCCATTAATGGAGAATTGCCTTTCAGGTTCCAGTTACACGAGGCACTTTGTATCCAGTTGGAGGGGGACAGGGGGGGTAAATAAACATTTACTTCCATCTGGAATATAACATGGGTGCAAAAATGGAAAAAAGGGCCTCAGTCATGAAGGGGTTAAATTGAAAGTGTATTTGCTATGTGTGTTTTGAGAATTGCAAAAACTACCTGTTGATCCTGCCAGAAATCCATTGACCCCCCACTTCCTGTGCATTCTGCTACACTGAAACCTTAAGCAGTATTATCAGCTCTCAGCCCAGTTCTCTGCGTACTTCAGAATGCCTCCTCCCTATATTGTGGAGGTGCCTGGACCGGAGTGACGTCACATTCAGGCTCCCGGCATCTCTACAGGACGTGCAAGGGAGCTGTACAAGCAATGCACCTATGGATGGAGCTCCATCACAGCAGCCCACACTGGACCCCAAGCTGAGGAACCACTCCAGTTCTCGTAAGAGAGACTGGGTGGACCTTTTAAAAAAAAAAAAAATTTGTGTCACTACAATGCGTTACTTGCAAAGTCCCATGTGATTAACGCACTGTACCAGACAATCGTACCTACCATGTGTTCTGGTGCAGGAGGTGCGTTGCCATTTATTTAATGACAAACCAAACTTCTTCCAGTGTGGGTTCGATGACCCGCACTGGAACGTACGGTACCCCAATGTTGTGCATTCCAGTCTGGTGTGACTTGGGTCAGGACTTGATGTCCAAGGACAAATGTGTGTCTTGAGGTTACACAGGTTGAGAACCTCTGCTGTAGTACTAAAACACTTCCTGTCCTAGGGTGGCAATGCTGTTCCTCCATTGATACTATATGGTGAGTGTGTGTTGTCCTAGTGTGTGTTTACTGGCAGGATCACCAGGTACAAATAAAGGTGGGAGTGGGGGGGGGGAGTCCCCTATGCAGCCACCAAGCTGCATTATATCACATTTGTGTTCCTGGGTTTTGATGGAACAAAGGGATTGTCCTGTTCTCTGGATTGATTGTAAGTTTTGGAAGGGTCAGAGTTTTAAAATGCAGTAAAACAGGCATTGCCTAATTAAAGCTGATATCCGCGATAAGTAAATATTGTGTAAATACAAGAGTTGTGCACATTTTTACTTGAATCTTGGTGTGCTTTGTGTATATGTAGATCTTTGCAGTGATCCAGTGTGACACTTTTGTCTCTGTACAGGGAACGTCCTGTATTAAAGACCGGCCACTGCTGCGCCTTGTGCAGGGTGACTAGTCTTGTCTCCGCCCCCTTCTGTAGTTTCCTTTAGTGGGTGGGACCTGCTAGGCTCCTCCCACAACTCTGTTTTCTGCACAGGCTATGTACAGCACAGTGATATCACCAACACTTATACCAGGTAAAATATCTGGGCTCGTTAAGGCATTTGTTGCTCACAAAGTGGACTTGTATCCTTTTTGTGTCTGTATAGAAATAAACTTAATTTTTAATTTTTTTTCTTGTGCCCGGAGTTAAGCTTTAACACAGTGTATGCCTCTCTGGTGTGGCCCATCCTTTGTGTACAGTTGAACTGACCCGTTATATTGGCATGATTCCTCTAGTATGCGCCGTTAGCTGGCATTAGAGTGAGCCTATTTACAGACAAGGCACACAAAGTCTAAGTCGTGCTGTCTACAGTGAGAAAGCCCCCACTGATTTAATAGGCCTTGTTCCATTTAATGACTTGCCCTTTTAGCATATGAACTGGCCTTTCCCTTCTGTGGATAAGAATGCCCATGTCTGACTCACTCCTGTCATTGTAATGCTGGGCACACACCTTACAACCATTGCAAGACTTTTGTCTTGCGATGGTTGTAAGGTAATTAAAAAAACGTACGATCTGCCTATCTTGGACAGGCAGATCGTATTTGCGATGATCGCAAGCCACGCCCCCATCACGGGCAGGCTTCTCATGATCGCAATGCTGAACGGGCAGTGTGCGCTTGCGCACACCGGCCCGTCCGGCTTTTATCTTAAGAACATGCTACACACCCGCTGAAAATCGTAGGATTCTCGGTGGGTTTTCTCTAGTCACCTTCCAGGACAGCATTAGAGAGATAGGCTCCTCCCACCGGAACAGGAAACACATCACCCACACTTAAAATAAAAAGGAGCACAAGCCTAGCACGCTTCAGTTATTTTGTGTTTCCTCCGGCCGAGCAGGACATCGTAACGTTTATTTTTTTCCTAGGCCTACGTGCTAGTGAGCAGGGGCTTCCCCCCCAACATGGTACAGCAGAGGGTCAGTGGACCTGGGGTACCTATGGAGGGGGGCTTCCGGGACAGCCCCAACTGTCCAAGGAGCAATTGCCTATGGTTTCCCGGCATAAGAGTATGCAGGACAACCAGCCTGTTGATGTAGTGGACTCAGAGGAGTTCCCCTAATCCTTAAACCCCTGCTTCAAGTGCACTATAGAGTGGTTTTGGCTGAGTGTGGCGCTCCTACCTGATCCTGGTGCCGGGTGCAAGCTCATCAGTTCGGTGGTGGACAGCGGCATCCCCTGGTCTCTGGGCGTCGGTCGGCCGCTGAAGAGGTGCTGTGCGGCGGCCCTCGTGGAGACAGGGGGAAGGAGGACACGAGATGTCAGGGCGGAAGTGATGCTCGCCGCGCGGCGTCTGACACCACTTATTATCCTCTCTAATGCTGTCCTGGAAGGTGACTAGAGAAAATTGGAGTTACGTACCTGGTAACTCTGTTTCTAGGAACCTTCCAGGACAGCAGGGATTCCCGCCCGATATGGTGGAGTTATTTACTATGCGTTGTTATGCAATGTAAGGTTATATATTATTATGGGTGTATATATGTGTATATGTATCTATAATTCTATGAACGAGTGCAATATGGTATCCTTCGGTTCTTATGTTTTAACTGAAGCGTGCTAGGCTTGTGCTCCTTTTTATTTTAAGTGTGGGTGATGTGTTTCCTGTTCCGGTGGGAGGAGCCTATCTCTCTAATGCTGTCCTGGAAGGTTCCTAGAAACAGAGTTACCAGGTACGTAACTCCAATTTTCCAACATGTTCCTAAGATAAAAGTCGTGCGACCTCACAGTAGCAGAGGTCGCACGCCTTCCACACACCTTGCGATAATCGTACGATTGCGGGATTTCCCGCGATTATCGTACGATTATCGCAAGGTGTGTGGGCACCTTAACACTGAGACAGGTTGGTGAAAAGGGAGTTTGACTTCTATACGGAAATGTTGCATCAAACAACAATTTTGGTCTACGGTATAACGTCAGTCCTTGTAGGAGCAGAATTACTATGCATGCGGCACACCTTTCATGTCCTACATCTGAAAGTTTTCACTGCTCCAAGTCCACTGCAGCCTGCCAGTTATACACATGATGCCTGTACTGGCTGCTTTCATTGGAAGCGGGTGACAGGTACCCGTGAGCCTTCTTTTATTGTGCCGGAGGCAAATCCATGACCATCCTGTTTTTCTCATTTGCATTCAGAATGTGTTTTACTTGTGTTGTATTCACAGGATGTGCGCCGGACGATGGCGGTCACTTTGCATTTGGAAATGTTATGGGTATTTGCATGTACAGGTGCAGCTGAAGGCTCAGAACAAGTACCAGAGCGTGTTTATCATGGCCAGAAGGCTTCACCTTATATCGGGAGCTGATCAGGAAAGTTAGAAAAGACAGTAATGCAGAGGCCGCCTATACTGACCTATTTCTGAAACTGTTAGGGGATTTGGCTGTTTTGGACTTCCCAAGTCACTGACCCAAAACAAATAAACGTTCACACAAGAGGAGGCAGCAATGGCACTCTTGGTATTTCTTCTGGTACAAGATTTCTAACCCATCTTACTGTGACCGTCGCACCTACATGAGCTTGTTGGGCATCCATTTCAAAACCATGGACATTAATGTGGAGTTGCCCCCCTCCTTTGCTTCTATAACAGCCCTTACCCTTCCAGGTAGACCTCTCCCCAGATTTTGGAAGGTCTGTGGGTATTTGCGCACTTTTAGCCACAAGAGCATCTGTGAGGTCAGATATTGATGTTGGAGGAGAAGACATGGTTTGCAATCGGCGTCCCAGTTCAAGTGAGGTCAGGGCTCTGTGCAGGTCACTTGAGTTCCTCCATACTGAACTCCATAATCCGAGTCTTTATGGAGCTGGCTTTGAGCACAGGGAACAGTCGTGCTGGCATAGAAAACTGCCTTCCCCAAATAGTCTGAAGGCTGAAATCACACCATTGTTTAACATGTCTTTTTATATGCTATAGTAGGAACAGTACCCTTCAACGGAACTCATTATTTGGAGGAGTGTCCAGATCCCTTTGGCCATATAGCGTATATCGGGGTAAGCAACCTCAGCATTCCAGATAAGGTGGAGCTGCAAATCCCGTCATGCCTGCGGCTGGCCAGAGCCTAGCAATGCATCATGGGATGTGTAGTTCCATAATAGCTGGAGTACCGAGGTTGCTTACACCTGGTGTACATTATCCTTTTTGTTGATATATATATATATATATATATATCTATATATATTATTCTGCATGTGAACTGTACAAACGTATAGCTGAGACTCATAGAGGCGGCTTGTACAGCCACTTCTCCCCTGCTTAGTGAAGGACTCGGCAGCGGTGACGGGCCGACGTGTAAACAATTGTGTGTATTCAGCGCCCACTGATTATATATTATTTACATGTCAGCCCTGAGCCGCCGCGGCTGGGTCACATCCAGTGTACTCGTAAAAACATTTGCACCAACATCACCATGTGTACAGCCGAACTCCCTAAACTGGATGCAGATTTTTCTAGTTTTGGTTCAAACAGCTAAACGCAGAGGACCAAACCGGACCAGTGTGTATGGACCTATAGGATACAATACTGCTGCCTTAGGTCTGTAAGAGTTAAATGGAAGCCAAAACATTTTACTTGGTTTTGGATGGAGTTGAGAGGGATCAGAACCCCGGTCAGGTTTTTTTATTGCGGTCTGTGCCGCTGTTGGGGAGATTCACCCTCTTTGTCCTGGTGACCATTATCACCTAAAGTGACGGAGAACCCCACATTTTTGGGTTGTCGGAACAGGAATGGATGGGAAATCTTCTAATGGGCACCCTGCTGACCAACGGGGATTTCCTCTCACTTCCTGTTGTGGCTATCGTACAGGAAGTAAAGGTAGGTCTCCCCTGTGGGAGATCAGATGGCAAAAAAGGCAAATGGGGTTTATAACCCTCCCTTACTCTATCTAAAGAGAAAGTTTGGGCTTCAGTTCTGCTTCCTCTGTGGGAATCGTACCCGTGGCTGTTAGTCAATGCCTCAGTGGGAGTCCGAAGGTTGGCTATCCCTGGTCTATGAAATTAGACCTTTGAATGCATTTTGTTATATCTATTCAATTAATCCCAAAAACAATCTCAAGCAGTGTTATCAACACCCCCCCTGCCCCCATCTGGGACAGAATATCTCCCTGTGTTCATTTTAAGGGATAGTAGCAAGATATGTGAATTTACAGCTAGCATTAACCCTCTTCCCTCCCCCACCCCCCACTTTGTACTTGCTTTTGGAATCTTTATTGTCCGTAGTGAATAAAGTCAATAGTCAAGATGTGCCTGGTGCCGCTATGGTCCGAATTGTTTTGTAGGGCTTATGTGAATTTTTTGTTAACTAAAAAGAAATGAAGGAGGCACCATTTTAAAAAAAAAAAAGCATTTTGAACATTTCTTGCTGGACTCACTGGTTTCACCACTCTGATTTATAAGTTTTCTCTTGAGGAACGTGACAGTATGTTTTATTGTGTAAATACAAGACAGGCTGGTTCTTCCCATTTTTTTGTTGCACACCAGGCCTGACCTTTGAAGAACCTCAGGATCCCCAAATCGGGTCAGCCCTCTAATGTGCAAACAAGGACCACCTTCCATGGGCTTCTGGCTGTGGTACACTTCACTGTTGGTTAATAAGGCTTCCCATCACAATGATGGGTTAATAGGAATTGGTGGACCAGAGCCAGTACCATGACATTTAGTTGGTACAGTAGAGTGTCCCGCTATTTGGTGATCCTGGGAAGAACAGACACTTGATTGCAATGCAACGCTCTCCTGAGGAAACTGCTTCCTTGGGAACCCTCTGGTTATGGTCACATGACCAAATGCCAAGGCACCCGTCATGGGGCCCAAATTGACGAATGAACAGTCATTTCTCTGCCATCATGTGACCATTACCACCCCATGTGATCGTGTGGTTGCAATGGGTAGTGCTAGAGCAGCAGTTTGTCCAGGTAAGACAAATATGTAAGCAACCATTATTTTACCATTTTAGTGTGTTGGGTTTGGGACGATCGGGTTGATTGGGAAGAGAATGGGGGGGGGGATAAGGTCTTAGACTGGATATACATTTCCTTCACTTTTCCATTTTACACAAAGGGAGATCTGATGCAATGGTACATTTCCCTGGATAACTTGTAATACAATGAAAGCGGACATAGTATAAGGGGTTCTGATAAGCCCAGCCTTTTTCCCTTTGCCTCAATTTTCATAATGGCCCCAGAGTGTTTTCTAGAATGTTTTTTGTTTGTTTTGCTGCTGCTTGACATTAATGCACCTTTTTGTCTTTCTCCTCTTGTCATTAACAGAGGCTAATAGACAAGTCCAGAGTAACCTGTGTAAAATGGGTCCCAGGCTCGGAAAGCCTTTTTCTCGTAGCTCATTCCAGTGGGAACATGTACTTGTATAATGTGGAGCACACGTGCGGTACTACAGCGCCCCATTACCAGCTACTGAAACAAGGAGAAAGCTTTGCCGTTCATACATGCAAGAGCAAATCCACGCGGAACCCTCTACTGAAATGGACTGTGGGAGAGGGAGCCCTCAACGAATTTGCGTTTTCCCCAGATGGGAAGTACTTGGCGTGTGTGAGTCAAGATGGCTTCCTCCGAGTGTTTAACTTTGATTCCGTAGAGTTGCATGGTACTATGAAAAGCTACTTTGGTGGACTCCTTTGCGTGTGTTGGAGCCCTGACGGGAAGTACATTGTAACAGGTGGGGAGGATGACCTGGTCACCGTTTGGTCTTTTGTGGACTGTCGAGTAATAGCTAGAGGCCAGGGTCACAAGTCTTGGGTAAGCGTGGTGGCATTTGACCCCAATACCACTAGCGTAGAAGAGACTGATCCTATGGAGTTTAGCGGAAGCGATGAAGATTTCCAAGAACTGATCAACTTTGGTAGAGACAGGGCCAATAGTACGCAGTCAAGGTTGTCTAAACGGAACTCTACAGACAGTCGTCCAGTTAGTGTGACCTATAGATTTGGCTCGGTAGGCCAGGACACGCAGCTCTGTTTATGGGACCTCACGGAAGACATTCTTTTCCCTCATCAGCCTTTGTCAAGAACAAGGACACATACCAACGTCATGAACGCCACCAGTCCACCGGCGGGAAGCGGCGCCCCTAATCCAGGTAGTAATGGCAACAGCATTACCACGCCGGGCAACACCGTACCTCCCCCTCTTCCAAGGTCCAACAGCCTTCCCCACTCTGCTGTGTCCAACACTGGCAGCAAAAGCAGCGTGGACAGCGCCATCGCTTCCGGCGTCAGCAAGTTCGCCACCCTGTCCATCCACGACCGCAAGGACAGGCACCATGACAAAGACCACAAGAGGAACCACAGCATGGGACATATATCTAGCAAGAGTAGCGACAAACTCAACCTAGTTACAAAAAATAAAACGGACCCGGCTAAAACATTGGGGACCCCTCTTTGCCCCAGGATGGAAGACGTACCTTTGTTAGAGCCTCTTATCTGTAAAAAAATAGCACACGAAAGACTAACGGTGCTCATTTTTCTTGAAGACTGTATAGTCACTGCTTGTCAGGAAGGATTTATTTGCACATGGGCCAGGCCTGGTAAAGTGGTAAGTTTTAATCCCTAAATGCTGCGCCAAGATTAGATTCCGATCCTATGAGGAGGGTCTGCAGCTTCTGAAACATGTTGCTCATCAGTCGGCTTGATGCATGTTTAATATATTATATTTGTGTTTTGTTTTTTCCATATTCTTGGCTGAAGTTTCCTTCCTGAGAAAACAGTTAGTTTGGTTCTCAACTCAGAGTCTGGATTTTGCCCGTTTTAGGGCATCTTTTCTTCGTCTGCAGACTATGGATTGGAGAGGCAGAGCATGGAGCCTAAGGTTTGTAATGGGAGATCTTGAATTTTCTTGGAGGGATGAGGGAAGTTAGAAGGTAGTCTTTTACATAGGAGGGGGATGAATTAAAATGGACAATGTAGACCAGACTCTGACCTGAGGGGTCAGACCAATTGTTTTCTACAGAAAGAGGTCTGAGAACTGCTGTTTTTTTGGGGGCAGATAAGGTATCCTGGTAGTCAGAACCTGCATCAAACTGATGAGCAAAATATTTTGGAAGCGTCGGGTCTCTTTTCAGGGCTCATCTGTCTGCTACACTCAATAAAATGGCTCATTTTGTTGATGGGAGCTCGTATCTACCCAGTCTCTTCTCTAGAAGCTAGTGGGATCTCAACTCTGTATCGGTTGCTTTTTATTGCTTGTAGTTGACAGGTCCTCGAACATTCTTTAAGAAAAAACTGCTGACATTTCTTCCATTTAACGTAGAAAAGATATATATTATTTTATCCTTTTCAAGACATATTTTGGTTACTGCATGTCATACCGTTTTGAATCATTTGAAATTTTGCCACCGCAATCCGTAATGTTGACAAATTCTGCGTGTTATATCAAAAACCCTTTTTTTTTGTGCCAACCAAAGAGAAAAACAAAAAAACGAAAGTTGACAGAGCCTGTGCGTTCTAATACATACATACAGAAAAAAAAAAAAGATGTGTCCTCTGTCCACAACACTGAGGCGGAACTCGGTCACTCGAAATTTTAATTTTGTAAGAGTTAGCGAGTCTGAAAACTGATGGGGGTAATGGTGATTGTAGCCCGGCAAAAAAACGTATCATTGGAGGCACTTTGTTAATGTATCAATGAAGAAGTGTATATTGAGTCACTAGAAGCAAACAAAACTTGGACACAAGTTTTCTCCTATTAAGTTAATAAGATCTGTATTTCTGTAAATAAATCGGTTACCTTGATTTCTTTAGTATGCTCAATGTGTAACTCCTTTCTTGCCTATCACTGCGATATTTAATTTATTTATTTTTTCCATTTGAATTTACTTAACGGTAGGTAGCCGCTACTTTTTTTTTTCGGGAACACAAATATATAAAGTACTACTTGAAATGCCAAAAAAAAAAGTTAAAAAGTAAGGTTTGTGTAACTTGCGTTTGATCACAGCATTCCAATACAACCTTTTCGGTGACAGGATAGGAGAAAGAAGCTGGGACTCGTTTTCTGAAGGCGTAAAGGATAAATAGATTGAAAAGCCTCAGACACGAGCTGCCGATCTTTTGGCTTCTGGACTGCATGGTGGCTTTGGGACAGTGGTGTTCGCCTGCAGTGAATGGCACCAGTTTCAGGTCCGCTGTCTCTGAACTAGGATACGGTCCAGGAGTTAGGGAGTGGGTTGCACCTCCTCGGGGCAACAGTGAGGCTTTAGTATGTCATAAACTGAACAGATTATGGGCTTTTTTTTTTTTTGCTTGGATGCCGAGGCATGCCCCTGTGCTCTGAGGGTGTGATCAGATTTCTGTGGTGAAACCATGTCATTGACACTCATGCCCTACTTTACACCCACACTGAATTAGTTTTAGGAGTTTCTCATCCCTTTCCCATTCAGTCAGAACTCGGGTAGCTTCTGCTGTGTTCACTTTACAAAACCCATATGATCTTTGCTAAAGGAGTGGTGGGGGTCCGCATAGAAATTGGCTGATCCATTCCTTTGCCAGTGAGTAACTGCCCATGATCCCATAGCAGCCATTTTCTATTCTGGCTTTAGTCATTTGGAAAGAGTAGCAGGCATAGAAGCGGGGAGCGATTTGTTGCAGCTTTAGGCCTCATTCACACAGTGTAGACTTGGGCTGTACAGATCCAGGTGGCGTGCGCGGCCGTATCGGGCCATTCCCAGGAGGAGAAGGTGATACATGTGATTGTACGCAGCAGCCTGTTCTTCTCTATGGGCTGACGTAGCCGTACGCACTCCCGAGCTGCACATCCGTGCGGGTGTCTGTACTCCGAAGCAGACAGGATAGATCCTGTCTTGTGTCCAAGCAGTGTCTGTGTCCAAGCAGTGTCTGTGTCCAAGCAGTGTCTGTGTCCAAGCAGTGTCTGTGTCCAAGCAGTGTCTGTGTCCAGACCTGTACAGATTGTGCAATTCAGGTGTGCGTAGGGCCGCGTCCTCCCATAGAGAACAGGCTGCTGCGTACAATCACATGCAGCACTTGTCCCTCCCCGGGAATGGCACGATGCGGCTGTGCATGCCGCACGGATCTGTTTGGCCCTACTCTACGCTGTGTGAATGAGGCCTTCACGTTACAAGAGTGTTAACTGCTGAGCGAAGTATCCATGAATTTCCGTTTCATGTTCTTCCACTGAGAAATCTATTGTCTTCTCTAGAAGATATGACCTCGGATTGTCCTGAGGAGCAGTGATCACAGGGCTGTAGCAGTCTTGGTGTTGCAGAACACTCTTCGGCCTCGGTAGCCTGCTGGGTCCGGAAGCCTCGCTGATTGGCGTATGAGCCCGTTATGGTAAACTACGCAAACCTAGACGGACTATGTGGTGCCACCCTGACGAAACACTCCAACATCATGGTGTCTAACGTGCTTTTAGGTTTGTTGCCAAGCAATAGCATGCTGAAACCTTCCCGTCTCCATTTTAATGACGTTCTCTCTTCTCATGTAGAATGTTTTCACCGATAACTAAGCCAAGCGGTGTATTTTGTAGACTTCCTGAACGGGATGACGTCCTTGTTTCTCACGTGTGTACAACTACTACACTGCACTATAGAATACACCATTTACCTGTCTCTACGCTGACTGAGCTTAGTCTGCTGTGCTGACCGCGCTCGCACAAGCCCAGGTAGGGTTAGTTTAGTCAGAAGAGCCGTACCTACCAACTTGTTTACAGTAGCTCCCGGAGGAAAGCCGGGCACACGTGGGGAGGACATTACATCCCCATTCAGACCATGTCCTCAATCTCAGGACTGCTGCAGAGACTGATTTTACTTAAGCTCAGCTAGGAAGGGGTCACTGTGATTTGGTTGCAATGGGGGACTGTATGCTGAGCTGGCTTATTGAATAGGCCCGGGTGTTTAAAATAGTGTGTGCACTCATGAGTGGAGTTTTGGAATACTCTTTCAATGCCTTTTTTTTAGTATTTATTTTTTTTTCCTTTTTTATTTAGTTCTATTGATCTGATGCTCAGTTGGCATTTTACTGAAAAAAATAAATGGATGTAGGACTAATTTGCTAAACAATACATAAAAACACAGACCTAAAATTTCAAATGTTTCTCAGCCATGAGTATGCAGTACCAAAATTGGCACCTGTTTTTAAGGTAGAGGGAATGAAATGTGTGACAGGTAAGTGTCTTGCTTAAAACGCTTCTAAGAGGAGCTTCAGGATTGGCTAATAAATGCCGTATACATTGTGCATGACCGTGATGTAAATATGTGCAAATGTGTTGTCGTAAAACTTTCTTTTTTTTTAAATTTTAAATGCTGAGTTCTGCATAAAGCCTCCTTGAGGTAAGACTTCCCCCCCAGGGAACCCGGATAGACAGAGTAGTTGCATTATGAGTTTGACTTCTGTAAGATGAGGGACTGATGTTATCTTCCAGCATCTACAGTGGTATTGTTTTTACCATTGATGCTACCCCAGGCAGCCTCAGCAAGTGAAGCCGGTGTTCTTTCGCTAGAACACCAGCTTCACAGGCAATCGGGATGCAGGGCGACAAATCATAATCCGCCGCCCGACTTCCTGATAATTGGGGCACACGGCATCGGCACTCGGTATCGGCAAGTACCGTTATTGGTGCATCCCTAGTCATCAGTCTAGTAAATGGATAGGCTGCATTCTCAGTGATGTCACCGGTCTCTAGTGAAGGGATAGGCTGCATTCTCAGTGATGTCACCGGTCTCTAGTGAATGGATGGATTTAGTGAATTAAATATTGGGCCCTAGCAGGAATGTTGCTCTTTGGGGGGGGGAGTCTTGTTGCTGGGGTGCTTGGAGTGTTGGGGTCACGTGTTCATGGGGTGTGCTCTTCTTCATATTTATCTTCACTTTATCCATCTGATTATGGATTGTTTTTAATTGTTTGTATTCCTTTCCCTTCCAACACTGCGCGATGCAGATTTCGTCCCCCTGGATTCATAATGTCCTATTTCTTCCTAGAGGAAAGTCTGTAGCATTAAATCGCGCTGCAAGATCTAAAATCACATCGTTCCTTTGCAGATCAGGGAAAACTTGTACAATTCTGACAAGCTTTGAGTTGCTTTTTTGAAGCCCGTAAAGCTGATCTCCAGGCGGGTTATTATTGTGCAGGACTTGTTTAGCGCTATCAGCTTTGCATAGGAGTTTCAAATAGAGAGGGAGACCGTACAGGTACCATGCAATTCAAGACGAGATGGTCAGGACGGCCCGACTCAGTAGAGCTTACAATCTACAGACGCCCATAAATGTGTATATGAAAAGATCGCTGACCCACGAGCCCGCTAACTTCTATTTCTCTGGCAGGGGTCCCATCGAGCTCCTAGCAACCAGGGATGTCATTGGTTGCCAGGAGCCGGGCAGGATGCCATAGGAGCATTTCATAGTAGATATGACTCAGGATGTGGAGCTTGTGTTGTCCAGGAGACGGAGGTCAGACCTGCCACATGACTTTTCAGTCCTGCGACCGGTTCCCCCTCATTGCAATCCCCTCCCTCTCAATAGAAGTCTCAACTCAAAACGCAAAGTATATTTGTAACCCACAAAACTCCATCGCATTTATGAAGCACAGAGTTTTTGTTCTTTTAATGTGGCAGTATGGCCATGTGTAGACCCCTTAGGGCAGGTTCACACCATTTTCCAGACCAGATCTGGTGCATTCCAGACCAGACAAGAAGAGACGGGAAGTATTCGTCTGGTCTGGAACGGACTGCACTGGTGTGAACAGAGGCCAGAAATAGCATAGGGATACACAAGGATGCATTTTGGGTCCGGAAACGGTCTGGTCCGGAGATGATGTGCTGTGACTGGACCATTAGCGAGCCTAAAGGGTAAGGAAACTTTACCCCCGCTCACCTGAATAGATCGAGTCCACCTCTCCTTCCCCTCCATATTGCTATACCAGACCTTACTCTGAGGATGAACTGCGGAGGTGTAGACGTTGGATCAGGAAGCCGGCGGAGGGATGTTAATGCCACGGGATTCGGAGCATCATCTAGGCAAGTATAGGGATTGGTGGGGATGGAGGGTCATGTGGCCACTCTTATGAGATGCAGGTAATCCTGCCATCCATCCGCCATCAAATCCACCATCCGCCCAGGGCTATACGTGTGCCGTGGCTTACTGATGAGGGGCACATTTTAACCACAAGTTTGGGGCGTGATTTTTGTTTTTGGGGGCGATTCTAGGGAAGACGCCGTGAGGGCGGAGGTATTTGAAAGGTGAGACCTCTTTCTTACAGGTAAACGAATGATATTGTGGCAGTGTTTTGATCAGTGGCAGCTTTCAGTTGGTACCCCTCCGGTGTTTTTGCTATGAAGGACAAATCGTCAGGCTCACTTTTCTGCAGCTGCTTAGACCTAGCCATCCCTTCAGTCCCAAAATGGAGGGGAGCCAACAAATTAGACCTTTAAAAGAGAACTATGGCCTAACCTTTTTGGGGCCATAGTTCTCAAGGATCACAGGAGGACATGTACTACGGGCTATTGCCCGCTATATGCTGAGAGCGCAGAGCCGCACTGCAGCTGGGACGGATCCTAACATTATTGTCAGGTCTGGAAATGAGTCATCGGTTTGTGATCTCTGAGTTCCCGATCAATAGAGCCGCCATGTGACCGCTTCAGTGTCTCACGTCGGTTCTAATTATGGGGATCAGTGTTTTTCACACTCCCCATAATTCTCTTCAATAATTTGAAGTCCCAACTTTTAGAACATTCACAGAGCGGAGGACTCGCTCCCCAAATGAGAGCATCATTGTGCCTGAGCAGCCAATCCTGTAACACCAGAGCCATCGCATGCTCCCCATATAGGAAGTGTTTAGTTTACTCCCTGGAAACAGTGGTTGGGGAGTGATAGGAAGGCTGATGGGAGCAGCTGTAGGGATCAGAATGGAAGTGAATTGTTTCTT